TAGACCCAAATTTGAGAAAAGGAGAGAAAGGCCAAAAGATAAAAGTAGTGAGAAAGGTTAAGTAGACCTTCTGTTATGCCAATATTGACCCTTAATTTTCCAACCTTCCTCACTACTTTTTATCTTTTGGCCTTTCCTTTTCTCAAATTTGGGTCTATAATCCTTTGAGTTCCAACTTCAGCATTATTTAGTATTCTTTCCAGCATTGCAAGATTTGGCTACTTTGCACCAAAGTTGGCTACCCTTTGTTTAGTTTGGTGTAAAAATTATCATTTCGCGCATTGGCTACTTTCTGGGCTACATATTATTTATAAATATATTTGTAGAATAAAAATGCACTTTAAATTGGTGTTTCGTCGTATTTTATTACCTAGAGACCCAAATAAAATAAATATTTATGCTTTTCAAATAAATTCTTGTTTATTTATTTCTTTATAATAAATTCATTTATTATAAATAGAAATAAATAAATTCATTTATTATAAAGAAATGAATTTATTTATTTAAGTAAAAATTGAAAGGGTCTGTAGAAGTGATTTTTTAAAATATCCTTTTCTGTTATAAAGTTACTTATTACTATAATCTAGACAAGTTAATCCTTAAATATACTTGTATATTTAAGGATTGGGTTACAAATATATTATATATACTTGTGACCCAAAACTCTGTGACTTCTTCCAATGTGGCCCAGAGGAACAAAAAGGTTGGACATCCCTGATGTAAAGTAATACACATTTTAAGATGAAAAACTCAAAAAGTTTTATTAAAAAAATCAGTGAACTTCTACATGAGCTCCTTTTGTTGCATGTAGAACATCGAGCCTATACTCCATTTCCTGCCAGGTTTTTTCAAGCATCTTGGGCATGACAGCAGCAACAGCATCATAAAGGTGCACATGAAGATGTTGAAGATCACAAATTTTGACACTGGTGTAAACCTTGTCCTTGACAAATCCCCAAATGAAAAAGTCTAAGGGCATTCGAGGAGGCCACGGTATCGGTCCTCTGCGCCCAATCCAACAATCGGGAAACTGTGTGTCGAGGAAACATTGAACATGCAGGCTCCAATGTGGAGGGGCACCGTCCTGCTGGAATCATGGAATTTGTTTCAGTGTACCACCACACAACTTGCGCCCATTCTTGTGGAGAAGTCATTTTGTGTGTGATTACTGCCACGCCACCTTCAGTCACTTTGGCAGGTTTTCAAAATTACCTATACAACTTCCACAGTTTCTCTGCCTAATGGAATGCACGACATCTGATTACTGCCTTGCACTTCGATATCGCAATTGAAACAAATGTCAGGTTCATGGTGGACACCCTGTATTTTGACATTATCTTTCTGTGACAAAGAAATTAACATTATAGGATTATATGAAATTATTATTCTAATTGAATTATATAAATAATTTATTGGATTCACTTTTCATTCTAGAATTTTTAGAATTTGATTTATAAATGTTTACAAGTAAAATTCAGAAAATCATTCTATATAATAGTAAATTGTAAAAAGATGTTACATTTAATGCAACTTAATTTTATAATTTACTATTACACATTATAATTTACTTCTATGCTCAAATTACAATATGTATGTTTTTTATAAATATTTAAAAAACATAAGATATACACTACTGGCCATTAAAATTGCTACACCAGGAAGGAGGCACACCACACATGTGAAATTTGCATGACAGATAGAACATGTTGTGATATGTGAATGATTAGCTTTTCAATGCATTCATGCAAGGCAAGGCGGCAGTAGTGACACCTACAATGTGTATAAAAGAAGAGATTTTATAGCAGGTTTCTCATATGGAAATTTCATTTGAATGTTGTTTTCTGGTAAGAATGTCATTGTTATGCCTTGTGTAAGAAGGAGAAATGCCTACCAGCACATGTCTGACATTGATCAAGGTTGAATTGTAGCCTACCGGGATTGCGGTTTATTGTACTGCAGTAATGCTGCTCGCAATCCCATGACTGTCATCAGAATATGGAATCGATGGGTTCAGGACAGTCATATAGAATGCTGTGCAGGATCTCAGCAGCCCCATCACTAACAGCCGAGAAGACAGACATCTTATCTGCCTGACCTTAACGGATTGTACAGCCATGTCACAAACCCTTAGTCTAGAAATGGTGTCATTTGCAAGACAACAAGTATCTGCACGAACAGTTCGACAACATTTGCAGCAGCATGGACTGTCAGCACAGCAACTGTAATTTCGGCTACCCTTGATGCTGCATCACAGGCAGGAGCGCCTCCAATGGTGTGATCAATGACAAACCTGAAAACAGGAATGGTGTCATGTTGTCTTTTTAGACGAATCCTGGTTCTGTTTAGAGCACCATGATGACCACATCCGTGTTTGGTGGCATCATAGAGAATGCACATTGTCAGCATGCGTTCGACATCATCATATTGGCCCATCAGCTGGAGTGATGGTATGGGGTGCCATTTGATACATGTCTCGATCACCTCTTGTTTGCATTTTCAGCACTTTGAACGCCATTACATTTCTGATGTGTTAAGGCCCATGGCTCTTCAAGGCCTTCATAATGCTACATTCCATCAGGAGAATGTATGACCACATGTTGCCTGTATTGTCCTGATCTTCCTTGATACAGAATATGTTCAACTGTTGCCCTGGCCAGCATGTTCTCTTGATCTCAAAACTGTAGGAAAATTCAAACTTATAGTTTCCTTTAAATTTTAATTCAATTAGTGTTTAAAAAATATATGATTAATTCAAATTGATTAATATAAAATGTAAAGAAAGGAACAACTGGATAAATATTCAAAACTTAACTCTGACACCTTACATATTCAACAAGAAACACTTTAATTTTAATGTTTTTGCTCATATTCAATGACCATTATCAGACCATAATATATAAAAGAAACTGAATACTGAATAGAACCTCTAAGGTCATCAAATATGACTGTAAACATTATCATTAGCTGAATTTGTAAGGTATGAGTTGAGTTTTGATTAGTATCAATTTGGATAGTTTGAAGCTAGTATATTTCATAATTAGGATATGAAACCCCCAAAACAAAAGTAACACACAGATTGAACTGATTTATAGTTTGCATTATTTCAGAGATTCCCTGAAATACATGAGAACAAATTGTTTTTTGCCATTTTTAGTGAAATTTGCATTTAACTCTCTAAGCTCTGAAAACATTCTAGTATATAACTACAGAGTAAATTGTTCTTGCCTCTCAGGCTAAAGGGGAACTTGTATACCAAAACCAGTCAAACAATTTTCTCATATGCTGATTTTGTTTTGAACAGATAAAACCAATTTTGGCCAATTTCATGTTTAAAGAGTTAAATAGCATTTAATTTTTGATAATTTGAACTTTTTGATTTCCCCCTAATTCCCAAGTTGAAGTAAAAAAGAGTTGACCGTCATATTACAAACATCTATTGAATTTCAACAGTCGTATTATCAAAACTATTGAAATTCAATAGATATTTGTATTTTCTATGAAGAAATATATTCAATCTATGCTAATAGAATATCTGAAAAACAATATATTAAATCAAATTACAAATGGATTTTCTTTCCTATACTATAAATATCTTTATAGCTATTTTTTAAAATATTAATAATCAAATGAACAAAATGCTTTGCTATTTAGGAAACTTGTGTGTTTGTCAAATTTCCAAATTTTGATGACATGACTGGCCATTGATATTTCAGTCTGTCTATTGTTAATTTATGGCATCTGGCATGCCTTTCATCTCCAGGAATTCTTTCCATTTTTCTGTTTTCATCATTCTTCTCATTCCTCTATCAGCTATTATTATTATATTCTTCCTCATCTTCTTTCCTTAAGCTTTGCCTTTGTGGCAATTTTTGTTATTGATAATCTTTAATATTAAACAAAATAAATTATTCATTTTCAAATTTAAATATTTATACCAGAGATTAAAATATTGCTTAGTTAAAATCTATTTTTAGCAAATATCCATGAAGTGGTAAAATAATTTTTAATGTCTTTCCATGTTATTCCAAGATTATCAAAATTATTGCAATAAAGGGAAGAGGGAAAAGCAATAAATATTTGCTTTTGATCCCTCTTCAAGTCATCTTTCATAAAAGAATTGCAAATAGAAAGTAATTTACTGTAGGACAAGTATTTAGAATGTTTTATATTTGATAATATTTTTCAAAAAACTTATATAACAAATATAACAAATATTTTAAGTACAGAAACAATTTTATTCTTGCATTTGTCTGTTTATTACTGGAAATTATTAACAGACAACACTTAAGTAAACTACTTAAAATCACAAAACAAATTCACCATTACAGCTGCATCTTAAAATGAAATTTTATCTATAGTCTCAGATAGAAACTGCACACAGTGAAACATTCACTGGTAAAATTAGAAACAGAGCTAAACATCTTAACAGTGAAAAGATTATATTCTGAACAAATGTTTTTAACCCATTTAGCATGTGATATTATTCTATTTTAAAATTTCTTCAACATGTAACCTGAAGACTTCTTAAATGAGTTGTAAATGGTTGTTCAGAACATAACATATTCACAATTAAAATATTTAGTTCTATTTCTACAGCTGTAGTTTTGACTATTTTGAAGCATTCGTTGACATATAGAACCTATTTTTTCACTTTGTCTAAAAATTTAACATATTTTAAAAATAAAAATGTAGATCAACAAAAAGGGAACTTATTTGTGTTTGTTTCATATTTTTATTATACAATATTCAATTAAATTATTTTGTAATTAATAGACTAAATATGTATTAAAATGAATCTTATTACTATTTTAAAATTTTATAAATAAAAGTAAACAAACAATTTTAGGCAGAAAATATTAAAAAATAAGTTTTTATATACATTTACTTGTATGTATTTACAGATATATGAAATAGGTTTTGGAATTTTTACAAAGTGATAACATTTTTTAATTTGATATTTATTTTATAAAACATAATAATTTCTTAATTGAATATTTCAGACCGAACCCGAATACAGAGTTACAAAATTCTTAACCAAGTTGGAAGAAGAAGGAGCCCTAGAATCTTAAACATTTGTAAAGAAAACAAATTTAAAACATTCCAAATGCATATTTATTTCTTCCAATATAAATGTGTAATGGTATTTTCAGTTTAGATAAAAAATAATAATAATAATAAAGTAAAATAATTCATAGAATGAAAAATGAGAAGATAATTCTATATTGAATTCCTATTTAAATCATAAAACTTCTAAATGTCCGATTGTAGAGATTCCAATTATCATTATCATCAGATATTGTACATAATAATCATTGAATGTGTTTTTGCCTTAAAAAATCAATATGTACACTAAATGAAAAATAATAATAATAAACTCCATACAATAATAACAACTTTGAACCTGCTTTGAGAAGCCATTTTTGACTTCGCGGAGCGATTTGGAAGTTGTCGTTACAAAATATGGAGTGGCTATTTCCTCGCTTAGAAAAGCTAAAGTATTAATTTATTAAGTCAAAATACTTGTTTTGTTATAAAGTTTATTGTTTGTTTCCTTACATTTCTGTATATATATATATAGAGAGAGAGGAAGACATATCAGTAAAATATTCCAACACACTGAATTCTGTACCTTGTTATGTTATGTAAATTATATAAAATTATTATTGAAATTTTTATCACATTGTGAATATTATTACATTTAATTATACTGTATAATATACAGTTTCTCTCTTATTTGTGATTGATATAAAGCAGATAATGTGAGGGAAAAAGATTTCTTCTTACATAATTATGTAATTAAGAAAATAAGAAAAAAAAATTCTATTTATGATGCCTTAAATGTGTAAGAAGTTTAGTGTGAAGTTTCCTCAAATTATGAAGCTGTACTTTAATTGTTCAATATGTACAGTTTGCATAGATTTGTTGTTGTAAAATATTTATTTAAACGTTAAATAAATTAATATTAAAAAATTAAAGTGTTTAATTATGTATTAATCATTTATGAGTAATTATCGGATGTGGTGATTCACGTAGTTTAACGTTTCATTAACACTTACAGGATATATACGCCGATTTATATACATAATCCGGTTATATATAAAAAATATCGGTAAAGCGCATTATTATTTACTTATAAACCGCTTAAAATTAATATTTTTAAATACGAAAAGTGTAAAAAAATTGCACGAGATAAAATGCGTTATTCATAATGCAGTTAAAATTAATAGTATCTGTGCGCAGTCTCAATTAGAGTAGGAAGTTGGGTAGAGGAGAAGGAAAAAATTAAAGAAAAAAGAAAAACCTCGTTTAGGAGGGTATGTCTGGGGAGACATTAGTGCACGAGCAGTTCGAAGTTCCGGTTATCCAAATTATAGAAACCGGTTGGTGGTTCGTTATTTTCATCACCGCAGGGTTGAGATACGAACGAGCTCCGTCTGTGTTCCAGTCGCTGTGTTGTATCGCCTTTGTTTAGAACTGGCGTGTAATCTGACATGGATACATTTATATTGTGAAGAAATTGCTTTATAAACTTATATACATACATGGAGAATTTATAGAAAATATAAAGCGCAAAACACTGGATTGTTTTATATTTTGTGGTAAGTAAAATGTTTAGATTTACATTAGCCGCGGGAAATTAACAACCGGTTAGGCCACTACCACTCGTGTTTACTGTAATTTTCGTGTGTATCTTAACACTTTCTTGTAGGTTAAAATAGACACGTTAACAATTTATTCAGTGGCCACAGCACGAAAAACTTTAGTAGTGAAAATGTATTTAATAAACTTAAAAAAATCTATATCCTGAAGGGTGTATGACCTTAGCATGTGAGAATATCCTCTTATTCTCTCCCTGACCGGATGCACTAGTGGAACGATTTAATGAATGATGACGATGTTAAAAAAGAAAGGCAAAGTTACAAATGTATACTAAAATGAATTCGATAGACAAAGCAGTATCTGTGAAGGTCATTGAATGTTTTCTTCGCTTGGTCACTTCCAAGTTCAGTCTTCTGTTTAAAGCTTCCAGCCATCGTGTAAATGTATTATACTCAAGCTTACTTTTTAAAACAAAGCATTTATGCATTAAAAATTCAAAATTTAGTTCGCATTTTAACACTAAACTTGTTTTGTGACTAGAAAATGTATACCAGAAATGAGGAAATGAAAAGTAAATGCCCTAATTGATAATAAATTTAAGTTCGTTGCATTAATGTGTTCAAGTTTTGCATATTAATTAACGAATAAATAAGAGATAACGGTAATTTTTACTGATCGATTATAGATCGATCATAGATCGATCGATCGATCGAAAAAGGGTTCGGGTTATTCACCCCAGTCTAGTGACATCACCTTATTAAATTTCGCTTCTGTCTGGTTAACGAAAGGACCTTGACATATATAATTGTATTTCCTCGTTCCCTTGCACAATTTAAATGTTTTAATTACATTCATCTACGAGTAAATGTGTTTATGTGTTTAGTATTACTCGTGTTAAAGTGAATAAACGACGAACCCACCTGCTCAGGTGTGATATCGGTCGTTGTGCGCATGTTCCATTCTAGAATGGGGGTGGTTTTTGCTCATTGTTGTACGATTTTAGGCCAAGATGACAGCTCAAACTCGCATCTTTCTTAACTAAAGTATAGATTTTTTACTTACAAAATTGATTTATATATATTTTAAACAGGTATGTGATTAACACGAGCTTTTATACTCACCATCTCTGATTTTCTTTTATGTGCTGATAAATGTAGGTTAAGAAACAAACTTATTGTTTAAATTTATAGATGGAAAAAATGTTATATATTAACTGATAAATGTCTTAAATCAATAATCTTATTGTTAATGAGCGTTTTATCATTTAGAATATTTAATTTATCTAAGAAAAACACAATTATCTAGTATAGACTAAACTAAAGGTAATACAATAGTATCTAGTAGCATACAGATGATAATGTTTAATTTTGTGTTAATCATAGTGTTGCTTTATTTATATTTTATATGTTAAATGTATGTAAATATACATATGTTCATGTGTTTTTTAATGACAGGAATTTGTTACTATGGAACCTGGCAATGAAAATTCAGAAGGAAGAAGAGACGACGATAATTGTTGCATGTGCAATCCACAAATATGCAGTTCTTATGTTCTAGGAATGTTTGCTTGTATCTTGGTGATTGGTGGCGTTTTTCTGTCTTTCCACAAATGGGATTACATGTGGTTAATAGTTTCTCTTGTTGGAATAGTTCTCATTTTGTTGGGTGCCCTGCTGCACTTCTGCGGAACGAATGCTAGTCAAAAAAATGCAAAGAGGCACCGGGTGAATGAGCAAGATCTTCACGAGCATCTTCTTCCGACTGCTCCGCCTCTGAGCAATGCCTATTCCGTCAGCCAGCTGTCATTGAATATGCTCCCGCCTTACTTTTCTGCACTGGACAACGTGATAACCACTCACACGTCTCCTTCTGCGCCTCCCAACAGCGATAACGTGAGCCAAATTATACAGATCAAGGGACAGAGTTTCATTCTGCTGCCGATATCCGAAAACGTCGTTCCCGACAGTTCGGAAAACATAACTGTCTGGAACAATCCGGTGTTAATAGGGCCCAAGGAACAAACTAAGTAAGAAAATAAGTATATTTATTTTGCATTCCTAATTAAAAAGAATGAAAATTAATATTTAATAATGCATTTAAATAGTATATTTTTGTTTTAATTGATGATTGAGAGATCAAGTAGAACTAATTAAGAACTTGTTACAACTAATTTAACATAACAAAAAACATAGTTCAAAACTTCTTATTATATACATATATAATGAATACTCAAAAAATTAGTGTCAGTTTTTTGATGATGTCATATCATAAATGAAAACCGTCATGGTTTTCATTTAGAAAACAAGTGTATTATATATACATTTGTAAAACTTGCCTAGTAATTTGAGATTTCTCTCTCAAAATTACCAATTCACTCATTTTCTAAAAATCTCAAAGAGAAATAGAGAATTTAATATCTCAACATGATAAAATTTACAAGTTTCTAGAAAGTCATTACAATAGAGTTAAATAAATTAACATTTTAGATCTATTGAAATGTTAGATAATTTATACAATTCTTCAAATTAGCATGTTTTTATGTTTAGAATTAATAAAAGTATAGATTAAAATAGCTTGTTTAATAATCATAAATATTAGATTTAAAAATTTGCACGAATGTAGTTGAATTACTTTTAAAATTTTGATTAGATCATTAAAGAATTGTGATTGATCTAGTTATTAAACTATGCAAAAAATCTGCTAAAAATATCAGAATTACAAGCACAAAAATAGTGTCAAGACACATAATTTTTATGTAAAAATAATTAAGTAGATCAAAATTTAATTTTCCTAATTAAAAAAAATTAAATTTTTAGAACTGAGTCAAAAAAATGAGTTTCTTTTCACACTAAATGAACTTTCACACATTTCAAAAAAGTGGTACATTAATTAAGAAAATTTAACTTGACAAAATGGTGATAATCAAATAATTCAAAAGTACAAATAATGTGGGTTGAACATATAACATATTTAAAGTATTTGTCTAGTCCACTGCCATTACTTCAATGGTACTAAAGGTCAATGATGCAATATAATGAATAGTCATAAACTTGAGACTGTTGAACTGATGTTTGTTAATAATTTATCAAGCCTCTTATCTATGTTGTTTCTTTTCCAAGCTTGTTACTAATCATTGTTTTTAATATATTAATAGGAACTTTTGTAAAAATTTACAGATATGTTACTATGAGATAATTTATAAATGTATTCTGAATACTAATAAAGATGCCACTTTGCCTTAATTCTTATAATTTCTTTGTATTTTAAACTGATCTATCTAAGAGATATTGCTTGTTTAACCATTTTATTTTTCTAGAATTTGCTAATAATATAAAGAATAATCTTTGTCTTGCTTATTCCTCATAAGTATTTTATATTTTTATTTTATAAAAAATTTAATATCATAATGTAGGTATAAATTAAGATAAATGGGTAAAATATACCTATGGAGCCTTTTAAAAGTAGTTTTAACAATTTGGACTGAATAATAATATAAAAAATTTATTTATTTAACAAATATATATTTGACATAGAAGTTGTCTACACCTACCATTTTCTTTCTCTCTCTTCAGTGCTATAAACAGCATCTTTGATTATGTTTGCTAGAATAGCTACTTCATTGTATTTTCAATGCAGTTTTTTAATTGTAGAATTGAAATAGATCTGTTTAAAAATATCTTTTCTTAAAGATTAACTTTGAAGCCTATATATATATATATATATCACTGCATTTCAATTTTTTATACCAGTATATATATATACTGGTATAAAAAATTGAAGTGCAGTGATCTTGCATTCAATTCACAGGAAAATTAAAAGTTTTTTATGTTACCAAAGAAACAACTCCCAAACAAATTGTATTTGTTCATGGCTGAATATGTTTTGAGCTGTTCAACATAACATTAATAAAAGCAAATTAAAATACTATACTTCAATATGCAAAAACTTCAACATAACATAAATAAATTAATTATTAAAATTCCAAATTAAATTAAATTTTTTTCCAATTTTATTTCAGATATTTGTTAGAAACAAGTAGTTACTATTTCTTAATTCATAATACACTATACAGGTATACCTAGAGTTATTTCGTTCTTGATTATACGTCGTTTGTCAAAAAATATATGGAAAAATAAAAATCAAGTCATTTTATTTGACTTTTTGTCCATCCGCCACAAATATTGAAGTCGTAATATAACTAGAAAAGCGTTAAAGCATATAAAATCATATTAAAATATGTACATTTACAGTAAATGTTAATATAATCATCATAAATCCTAGAGAACGAAACATGAAAACATCTGTGTTTCTGTGTTGTCGTCTTATTTAGCAGTCTTTAAGTGCTCAATATTGGTGTTTTTAGTGACAAGTAAATTCGACTTGCGTCATTTTTCAACTTAAGTCACCTCTCATGGAACCAATTACCGATGTAAGGTGAGGCATACCTGTATGTTTTCATCATCTGTTCTATTTGATTTCAGTTACATTTATTTATTAGGGTATATGATATTCTTTAATTCTTTATCTAAATATAAAGACAATTTTAGATTTTCAAGTCATTAAATACAAGTATTTTGATTGTTATGGTTTGCTGAAGATTTTATTACAATCTAAGCCACTGCATGGATCAGAGCCAAGTATTGTTTAGCTATCCACCAAGAAAAAAATGAATTATTTATAAGTGAGAAGAACAATTCTTCATTTTTGTCAGATCATCTCTCATTTGAGTATAAAATTCTCTGAATAATTTACATATTTGACAAGTTTTATCTAGTCCTACAAATGCAGATTTACACTAAAGTATAAAATTTAATAAATTACTGATCCTTGATTGTTGCTTCTATTTTTATTTTAATATTTTAATTCTAGATTCTTTTTGTATCTAAAATGATTGATTTTAGAAATTTTAAATTATTTTATTTCATATATTGCACCTGATATGACATTCTTTAAATTATAACAATTTTTATACTGTATATACCAACAGATATTAAAATATTGATGCTATATTCTATAACAAAATATATATACAAATGTACTATTTAATAATAATTGTGACCTAAAATTTTAGCTAAATAAATCCTGTTTATGATTTAATACTTATTTTCATTTAAATTGCAATGACTTGTTCAGGTTTTTTGAATCAGCAATTATTGACTAACTTAAAGCACTTGTTACAGTAATCCATTCTTAATATTTTAATTACAATTTACTAATTGCTGCTGATATAATCCTAAAAAAACACAAATAATTACAATATAGAAAAAATAATCTTGTGAAACATAACAGGGAAAAAATTTATTTAATAATTTTTTTTAAAAAAGTCAAAAAACATTTTCAGATTACATTAACCTATAATAATTTGTACATATGTTACCATGAAAGATCAAAATCTGTGAAAGTCTAAAAGATATTTTGTATTATTACAGCATACATTGATGACCTGTGTTGAATCATAGAAATGCTGGTCTGAAGTTTATAGTATATATGTTATCAGCTGCTTTTTATTGCAAGTTTGGCATTATGAGTAAAGTTCTCATTGATTACTTATCTTTGTTAGTTTTTGAGTGTGTAATGTACACAAGGTTGCCAGACTGGGCTACTTTTTACAGTCTGAGCAATTCCTGGTCATTTGTGATCAATTTTACTTTCCAAGCTGTTATAATAGAAAGAAAATGCATGGTGATTGGTCAAAAAATGACCCCCCCAGATTTTTACACTTTTGTACTAGGAATCTTGAACTTCAAGAAATGCAAACAAGTTGGCAGTTTTTTTTTTTAATATTTTTGTTTGGGGGCATGCTTTTGTTCACCCACTTTGAAGTTTAATAATTCCTGTTTCTTTTGTTTAAAACTTCTATTTCTATTAGGGGGATTGATGCTATTAAATTTTGGTGATAAAAAATCGTGGGGGTGGGGAGAGGGAGTCATGCCCTATCTCAAATGGGATTGGATTAAATGAAATTTTACTTGTTACTAGTATGTAAAATTTTTTATAAAACTCATCTCTACCTTGAAAATTAAGCCTTTTAATATTATTATAAAATGACAAAAGTTTTTAAAATAAAATCTTGTAACAGATAGTGACGCATAACTTTTCTGGTAAAAAAGTTGCAATTTTTATTAAATATTTGAAGTTGATGAACTTTCTCCAAATGTATTATATCCAAATTCTCTCTTCAGTTTTGAATAGGCATTCATTTTACTAGGCATATGATATAGGGATATCTGGAAGTGTTAGTTTTTATTTAAAATTTGATTGAATTTACAGGTTTATACAAGATTTACAAAATATTGTAATTCTATTTACATGGATAAGGTATTAAACAGGTATTGACACAATACTAATATTAAAAATAATTTAACTGAATGTTTTGGTTTTGTTGTAACCAGATACTACCTAGTGTAATAATTTTTCTTAATGCTACTTTATGCCCATGTTTTAATATTTATGTAATATACTTGGACATCTTACAAGTTAGTTTAGAAATTCTATTAAAAGTTTATTACCTCACTTTGCTTGTATAAGAATGTAGTTTGTTTTACTATATTATACTCTGTTTAAAAAAAATAGGTTTATAAGAATTCATCTCCCATACTTGAATTTTAACATTTACTTGTGAAAGAAATAACATTTTAAAATTATTTTGGACATAAACCAAATAACTTGGTAAATGTTGACATTCACCTGATTTTGTTCTTTCATAGTAAGTCATATATATAAAAATTTTAAACTTCAGTCACCCTGTTTCAATACAAAATAACAACCTTTAATCCAGCAAGAAACATTAAATAACTGTTGCATTCTAGTTATTCTTCAATTCAAACTAAGAGTTAATGTTTTCAATCATTTTGATTGAAGATATTAGTAATTTCTTGATAGATTAAAGGTGATTGAATATAAAAATGCATGAAAAAATTGATCATTAATATCAATTTCAATCAAAGTTGAATGTATTGAAAATAAATATCACTAATGATCATTACAAATAAACATGTGCTTTATCAGCAAAGTCATGACACTGTC